GCCCTATGATCAAAAGACACTCTTGGCAATGTGACGTAGTAGCTAACGTGCCGAGCTTATACGCTGAACTATCATTGTTCGAGTCCAGCTGAGGGTGAAGATGAGACCTAGGAGAGGTCGAAACTTAAATCTACCCTGAATAATAATACATTTTTGGGAAAGCAAGGTTATGTGAAATTCAACGGAAACATCAACTCTACTCATATCATTGTAGGAAAATTCAATTACCAGTCCTGCATCACCTTTAACGAAATATGGTGAATACATTTTATATATATGATCTTCTGATAGTCTCGAAAACCTGCTTATATCCTTTGAAAATGTTAGAAATATTAAAAAAATTTTCGAATACTCTTTATTCCATTACGCTAGTTTCTTCAAATTTACCTACTCCCTTATCTTTAGAATATGCACGACTTTTTCTCCAGCTCTGGCATAGTTTATTTTTGTGCTAATATTCCCACTCCAATCTGTTCATGATTTCCTACGTTAATTAGGTTTTATAGATCTCTAATGAAACTTGATTTAGTGCTTTCAAATAAAAAAATACACTTCATATTCTCTTGTATATATTTAAAAAGCTTTCAGATAAAGTAAAGACAGAACGAAAAACCAAAGCAATGGATTTTTTAACTTTATCAACCACACTTTAGCAAGATAGAGGCTGGTCTGGGGAAGGAATCAACCACCAAAGAGCTATTTTCGCCCATCTTACAAATACTTCCAACCCTAATCCAAAGTATCATATGATGCTGTTACATCTGTAGCTAAGTGCATCCAGGAAAGGCCAATCCAGTTTCAGGACAGATCTGTGGATAACGAAACAACGGGCTACCCTCTCGCTCCTGCACCTCTCGTAGTCGCAGCAGTATTTCATTCGAGTCCGTTTTGACCGCCAACTGATTTGCTTCTATGACTCGAGCACACGCCATGTTGATAGAAGAGGTGATAAGGCTCTCTTCTACTGCATCGTACTGGTAACTCCCACCCTCAAAACAAGGCTTCGCAGACATCTTTTCAGTAGGAGAACCACGACCATATGCCGAATCCAGCGAACAGAACTCGGGATCCAAGGCTGGCATGGGCTCAAGACGTCTTTCAGAGGCTCTAAAGGTATAAGACTGAGCCTCCTCCGGACCCAAAGTAACTGGAGTCAGTAAGTCTGATTTCTCAGTCTCGCCAGAGTTATTTTGATTTAATACTCCTGGCTTAGGCTGAAGGATGCGATTTGTGGTCGGGCTATCTGTTAAAATGAAGCCTGTAGCCGCAGCCATCACCACAGCACTGGCTGCAGCAGGTTCTCTTTTATCGTCTTTTCCCCTACTCTCGACTTGCTTGAGCTTTCTTCTGCGTTTCGGGGCATTCCTTTTTTCCTCCTCTTCTCCATAATTATCTTCCTCTTCTCCCACATCTTCATAGTCCTGGCCTCTTATACAAAGTGTATCACCTCTTTTCCCAGTGCGGATGCAGTTTCCAGATGAGGCAATAGTAGGTGTTGTCATTAACGCTGATGTATAGATACCACTTGTCTTAGCTCTCTCTCTGTCCATGGCTGCCTGACTCTGGGGAGCATGGAAGTCTTGGAAAATGTAATTGGGGCATTCAGCCTGCGAGGCGTGGGGACAGTGAAATTCTGTGAATGAGTGAGAGAAAACAGGACTGGAAGGGTTTTGGGCACGTTGAACTTGGTGGATCCCTTTTTCATTTTCTTGATGCAGTTGAGCGCTATGAGGAGGGTTATGATTTGAACGATAACTGTTTGCTATGGAATTGGTGGCAACGTGGGAACCAGAACGCGCATTCGGAAGAGGGAGAGAAGGATGTTGTTGGTAGCTGACATTATGGTGTGTGTCTTGAGATGGTGAATGTGAGGATCTCTGTGTGTAATAGTTGTCAAAATGCCTCATCGCTACTGAAGTCTCTTCATGAGTACCACCTGAGGACAGATAATTGCTGGCTGCTGGTGAATAATAGTAGTTAAATGCTGCTTTGGCGTAGTTGGCGTAGTCCAAACCGAGGTTATGGCAGCCTGTTAGCGTGGAGATGTCAGGACTGGCGTCGCTGCCGATCATCACTGAAGCCACCTCCTCTCTATCTGGCATCCAAGCCGAACGCAGCTTAGTGGGAAGTGGCCAAGCCGTGCCTGTTCCCAACTGGTAACTTGAGTAGTTGGGAGATTGGGGCTGGCCAGCTATCGAGTAACAATTGTTTCCAAGAGAAGTAGGCTGGCCGGAGCACATAACGTAAGGGTGGCCGAGGCGAGTCCGGGAGAAGGATAAGTAGACATCATTAGCACCATCGTGACTGTCACCACTGCCAATGCTACTACTAATACTATCACTACTACTACTACTACTACTACTACTACTACTACTACTACCGTTGATACCAAAGGATCCAATATTGGTTACATCCATACTGAGGGAAGTGGAGCTATTTCGAACCTGGCCGAACTCACCGACATCTCGATCAAGTGGACTGTAGCAGCCGTGATCTGTGGGCGGACAGATTGGAGGCAGAAGATTGGCATTAGAGATTACTTTGCTATTAGTGCAACCCTCATTCGGATGGTAGTTGGGACCAGATGGGCATAAGCACTGCCCAGTAGAAGAATATGTGTATTGACCGTCCAGCTCTAAGACACTCGCCAAGTAGCGACCTGTATAACTACCTCCTGTACCTTCGGCAGACGCCTCATTCGTGGATGTTGTGCAATCGGTGCTGAGCAGTCTGGGCGTTGAAGCAGAGTTCATTGCCTCACCAATGTCTGTCCATCCTAACAGTGGCGTTGAGGTGGCTTGAAGTCCATCTGAGTACCAGGAGGAAGGATAGGATAAATGATTGTTGAAACAAGCTGCAGCTGCCGCCGCCGCTGCGGCTGAAGGCACACTGGTGGCTGACTCTGTCTGCGAATTGCTTGATGAGTAGGTGGCCAAACAAGCAACTGCGGCCGCTGCTGCGGCAGCCGCAGCACTCGCTGATGCCTGCGATGTAGAGCCACTAAGGCCGGTAGCCAATCCGAGTGAAAGGTAGTCAGGACAGGGTGAGTCACATGTCGAACTGGAGGTGGGCAGTGAAATTTGAGCGAACTTTGAGCATGCAGAGAGATCATGTGTCCGAGACCCGCAGGATCGAAAGCCAGGCTGTCGGTCGACCGGCAGATTATACTCTATTTTTTGTGAATCTGTCATACCAATGTGTATGGCATTGTCATTAAGTAAAGTATTCGTGATAGAAACAAATGAAACAAAAGATAAAACTCTACTAATAATTCCATATTTATTTTTCCTCAGTCGGACCCTGCAGGCCATTCTAAAGATAACTCCGTTTTTCTCTTTTTTTTCTCTTACCTACTCCTGAGTTTATCGAAAAATTATATTACCTTAGCAAAGCAATCATTTTGCTTCGGAATACTTTTGGCCTGTTAATACCACTACTACTGACAAAGTGGTGGTACTACTGACCACAAATGGGTAAAATATATATTACTAAAGCCAGTATGGAGCCAAATGTATTAGGTGATTAGGATTCAGTGATACATCTGCATAAACTCCACCAGCCTTCCAGAAAAAGATCATAAGTTATAAAAATGCACGTGACTTAAAGCATACCTTTTCTTAAAGCGTTCTGTAAATACTCCTTATAACATTAGCATTCAAAAAAGAATATTTAAAAAATGCTGGCTGCTAGAAATGGCGAACTCTTCCTATTTATGGGTATTATAGACTTTATTGAAGAGTACATAAACTTAATTCATGCACGATGCTGTGTAAATGATAGGGTACTGTATTATTTTATTACAAAAAAAATCAGAAAGAATAAATCCTGGTTCATATCTGAGGCAAAAAATAAGTTGATTTACTAAGAATCAT